CTTCAGGGGTTTGGGGTTTAGTGTGTAGGGTTTAGGGTTCAGGGTTTAGGATTTAGGGTTTAGGGTTTAGGGTTTAGGATTTAGGGTTTAGGATTTAGGGTTTAGGATTCAGGGTTTAGGGCTCAGGGTCCTCATATTAAAGCCCCCCCCCACTGCCCTGACATGAAGTATTCCCAAACTATGAGAGTATACTATAACGGGAAAACTTGCCATTGAGAGGGGTGAAAGTTCAATCCATGATAGTATACCACAAAGCTAAAGGGTGGACATTCCATATCAGGGATTATCCCACAGCCCCAAAACCCTAAACCCAAAACCCTAAACCCTAAACCCAAAACCCCCCAAACCCTAAACCCCAAAAGCCTAAACCCTTCGTGGGTGGGGATTACCCCTTGCCTCGACCTTGCCACTTCAACAGCCAACTTGCGGGCCCGGGACTTTGGCCTCAAGCAAGGGCTTATGGGGTTTATGGCTTACGGATGAGGGTTTAGGGATTAGGTTTGAGGGTTTTTGGTTTAGGGTTAAGGGATTAGGGTTTAGGGCTTAGGGTTTAGTACCCCTCCCCCAGGGTTTCAAGAGCTAATAAAGACAGTATAGGGGTCTTAGGGTTTCATCCCAAGCCTAAGGCATAGGTTCTTAGTAAACCCCAGACCCTTAGGGGGTCTTGGTAACCCCAACCCCCAAGATTAGGACCCTAGAGCTATCATGTTACTATAGTACGATCCCGATTTTTTTTGGGGGGGGGGAGGGTGTACTTCCCAGAAATCCCTGATTATCTCTGCGATCCTGGCAAAGCTTTCAGATGTTGCTTCGTGTATAAAAGCTTTGTAAGCTTCTCCTCTTATCATCTCATCGTGCCATGGGGAACATTGCAGCTGCCTGGCGACTGGAGCTATGCCCCTAGCAAGGAACCCACCCACCCCCAGACTAACATTTAACATTGCTATGCCCCCATTGAAACGGAGAAGTACGGTGGATACTAAAATCCTGCATGACCCTATGTACCTTGTATATTGGGAATTATGGTATTACATTATATTAAGGTCATGCAGGATTTTTAGTATCAACAGTAGTATGCAAAAGGAACCTATTCAGCTTCCAGTTTGGGGCATGGCGCGAGATTTTGGATTCCCGGAGACTTCCAGGGAAGCTTTCAAGAAAGAGACACCCGTCATGGGGACCCTGAGCGTTGCGTTCCGGCATCTTACAAGAAATGCAAAGCCCTGTAGACTATACTATATAGTAGTTTCCATTTCTTCTGCATTATCCCAATGTAAGCCCAACTTACTGTATCCAAACATGGCGATCACAAGCGGCCATGCCCTTCTTCCCCGCCTCCAAAGCATGTGGCGGGGACGAACTCGCTGCCGGTGCCAACACAACACTGCACTTTCATGTTTGTTCGCGTTGCATTTTGCTGGTTATCCGGTCTTACTTATCGCATTACACCGTAACAGCTGCCTGCGACAAAAAGATACGAATCCATTTGTTCAACTAAATGCTTTTGTTTTTATGCTAGAACCCTAAACCTTGAAGCCCCACAAGACCCCATAAGTCTACGCCCCCATACCCTTACGCCGTAAACCGTAAAACTGCAAACCATATCAGATCCGAACTCCTGAAAGGCCGGGGACAATGACGGTGACAAGACGGTGTAGGCGGGATTGAGGGTTCAGGGAGGGCGTTTCCCCTACAAGGCGCGCAGGGGAGCGTTTTTGGCTGCCCTCTACCCCTTAGATAGACAGCAGTTGGGGGCTGCCTGTTCTTCGTTGAACGTAGTAGTTCGGCGTAAACCGTATAAAGCTGCCTACTATGTCACGTTGGGGGAGAGTACTTCATTGTTCGCCAAGTGATAGCTATCCCCACGATGATTGATTTTCCTTTGGATTCCAATGCTGCGCAGAGCAGAATTTCTCAGGAGATCCTGCCATGGCTCGCGTCATCTCTCGAACCCACAGACTACCCTACGGGCCCAAGTACCTAATAATTGAATATTTCCCTAAATCAATGTCCTATTACCCATACCCAAAAGGCTGATGAGCGAGTACTGAGGTCTTTTGGTTATAGCTTAAACCCGGAGTCCAAATTCTAGAGGAATAACTAGCTGCACAAGGGTACCTATACCCCTTGAAGAACTCCCCGTAAGCAACAGGATTCACAAAGCAATGCACCCTTGTTAACTATCCTTTCCTCAGCATGTGTGGGATTGCACCCGTGGGTTGGGAGCTCATGTGTTGTGTCCAGAGATTTTTGAACGTGAAAACATGAGCCTGGTCAGGGTATGTGGGTAGGTTTCCAAGACCAGAGCTCGACTTCTCCATCCCCGAGTACTCGGTGCCGTATATCACGTGCGTCCCAAAGACTCTTCATCTTGAGAAAGTGGCAAACTTGATGCCTTAGAACCACGCTGGGCTGCTGTAAAGGAACTTCAAGTAAATTAATTACTGGAATAAGGAAACCCTATTATTCACTATATACCCGTATGGTGGTAGCTGGAATCCTTGTCAGCCTAAACCCTATACCCGAGAGATACTCTCAGTTAGGCCTTGCAGGTAGGGCCTTGTATCGCTTGCACCGTTACAAGGGACACTGGGCCCATCCAAAGATTAGGGCCCTCCTGAGAACAACTAGTTGCTGGTTCTTAGTAGGGATTATGGGGATATATAATGTCGTATTATATCCGGATTATATAGGGATTATGTTCCTTTAATCCCTACTAAGAACCAGGAGGATTACTCAATCCGGGCAGGTACGTACAGACGCCGCTGTCAGCGCCTTTCAATCGGCGGCTGTAAAAAATTGGGCGGCTGTCTGCTGCACTTTTTGATGTTGAGTCTGCATAATCGTCTGAGTCTGCGGTTCGTTTGAAATCGCGGGCCCCATTCTTTTCAGGGAAATAATGAATGAAGGGAGCAGCAAAGCGAGTAGAAAAAACAGGTACACAGCCTTATTCCAATTTTTAGACTGCTGGTTCAGTAGGCCCGGGTTGGATCTTACAGGTATATATATATATATACATATATCGCTCTATGCCCCCTTGAGCGGTACGAGCACCAAGTCAAGGAGCATCAGTCGTCTTTGAATCCATAGGCTCAGACTGGCATGAGGTTTTGGTGGTTTCCACGAATTGGGGCACCTTAGTTTAAAGAGAGGTTTTAAGGGGTATATGGGTAGTTCCCAAAATTAGGGTCCTTTTTTGGTAACCTTACGTAGTAGGTGCCCCAGCAGAACCTATAACAAAAAAAGGGGCCCATAATTGTGGACAACCATTATAGGGAGATAGCGTCACACTGCGTATCTGCTTGTATATAGGATTTAGGCATTAGCCTTTCCCAAAATTAGGGACTGCCTTTGGCGGATTCCGTGCTAGGCTACGGAGGGTTATAGTCCTTTGGTGGCCTCATTATAGAAGCTCCCATGTCATAATCAGGCGTGTCAGCTTCGGCACTGTCTTTCATATACACGATTGGGGTTGCAATGCAAAAGGGGCGCCAATGAAAACCCATTTTTTTTGTAATCCGTATTGAGGACTCCTAGGAAAGGGCAGCGTAACTTTTGGGAACTACCAAAGCATCAAAATTCTGCGGGGCCCTCACGCGGAGGGTCCTCATATTATGGCTTATCATTACACCTTCAACCTTAAACGCGCATGAGGTGGCTTGATCTGCACTTTGGGCCGCTGCTGCCGGGACTTTGTTATCTACTACGCAATGTTTTGCGGGGTCCACTGAGATGAGAGTCACGTGTTGGTAGTTCTTGAGCAAGTTGGTGGTTTGACTTAGGATTTCTGTTTGGCGGGGGCAGAGATCTTGATACTCGCATAGAGGGACACTAGCAGTATCACGTTACGTCAAGAGCAGACGAAGGTACCCCAACACCCGATTACGTTATACAAGTTGCTTGGCCCTAGTTGCAGTTTTTGCTGCTCGCCTGCGTTGTATTAATCATGAACAGACCTGCGCACAGCCGTGCCTGTTCAAACGAACTGGCGGGCGCACGAAGAGCTTTCAGAAATTCCTGGCATTCACAAGTAAAACAGGCAAGGTACGCGTCACAAGAGTCATGCCTGCCAAGCAAGATGCAGCCGTCGTAGCACAGGCCAGCAACAGTTTGA